TCGTAGATGTTTGATTATTTAGATAAACTTCTTTGAAAATGTGTGACATTTTTTTACGTTTCGTCAACCTTATCTGAAATAAACTAATTAAACAAATCGCCTTTGAAATGATTTGAGAGTAACCATGAAAACGCATGTTCTATAACTGTTACAAAATAAAAATGTTAGCGAGTTTGTTGTTTTTTATCTTATCAATTTAAAAGAAGTATAATAAAAAATATCGTTCATTACACGTCCAGAAATGCTTTTTCCGTGCTTGCATGACTTCCCGTGTTCGGCTACGCCTCACACGGGAATTTGTCACGCGCGCACGGAAAAAGCCTGCTTTCCGGACTCCTAATGAAATATACTATTTTGCGCAGATAACCTGTACGTTAAGTTTGACGTTTCTGATACATCACAGGGCGGATTGTCTGATAACGTAAATGCTGGTTTTAGACGGTCGATGGAGACGCGTCACTTTGTCGTTGACTTCGATCACAAAAGATTTTTCGTCGCGTTCCAACACTTTATACCGTCTGTTGTATGGAGGGTCAGATAAACCGTGCACCGCGGCACAGTTCGGAAGGAGGAAATAGGCAATATCGTGACTACTCAAATCATCTAGGCAACTCGTCATTGCTCAGCCTCTTTTTTTACCTACGTCGAGTATGATGGGGGAACAGATCTTCTCCGCACCTGTCAAAATTGGGTTTACTTGGACCTCATCAAACAAACAAATTGTATATAATAGGTAAAAAATTCGTTAGAAAAAATTTTCAACATTGGGTTAGAGGAGGAGATTTGGACCTTAGATCTTTACCAATTAAATCCGTTGATCTTGGAATCCGTTGTGCGGTTAATATTGGATTTCCCGCATTCCTTTGCTTGTTAATTCAACCTCTGACTTGATCTGTGCTATGTTACACTTTCCAAACTCAGACTCTATTTGGATCTCGCCTTATAATGTCGGTTGGATTTGTGGAATAATATTAAATATCAGTTAACTCCAGACTAACTAGATCTTAACTTTGATTCAAGTCACAGTCGCTTTACTGCCTTCCGTTGTCTAGAAAGTCTCCACATAGCATAAATATTTATTACAGCGCCCCCCCCCCCCTCAAACGTTAGTTCCACGCCCATCCGTCAGTACTTTTAGTATGTTGTTTAAGACAAATTCACTTTTACACAAATTACACAATGTTCTATAGTCAAAACCAAATTGGTACCAGAGTACGCTAAATCTCAAGCAATTTCCCCACATTAACTTAAGGAAACTATTTTGAAAAATACACCTGTTTGATTCTCAGAAGTGGTGACATCTCAATCATCAGATTTTTTCCCAATATACTTATTGGTGCCAGAAAACGGGTAACCCATTCTTCATGCCTCTTTAACTAACAAACAGACGAGAGGATTCAAATATCAGGTATCCTTCTTCCGTCCCAAATCTGAGAGATAAAATGGCGAAAAAGAGACATTCCCCTTTACTAAAAGAAAAACCACCTGCCCAAGCAGTGTTTTACATCAAACCTAAATCCTTGGATAAACGGAACCATCTAAAGTCCTAAAGATGAAATTCACAAGGCGTATTTCCAAATATCCTTAACCTTATAATTAAGAATACGCCACAAGGGCTGATTATCTCATTTGACCGAAAGAGAAACGCCTTGCAAGGTTTCAGAAATAAATCTTGTAACACTTTCGACGAGTTTTGGGGTTGACCGGCATACAAAACAGTTAATTACTAACAGAATGAAAAATGAACGAAGAAAAGTGACGATAAAATTAATACTCTCTTCCAAAGCGATGTTTCTTTCCGTTTCGTATTGCTAATTGCCCTAATTAAACAGATCAATCGTTTCCTGCAAGCTTCTTTCAAACGAAGTAAATACAGATACCTACTCGCTTGAACTTTTTTCTTTTAACAGATTTGCGAAAAATGCACTCGAGTAGCGTACACAATTTTGTTCAATTTGTCGATAAAAGGTATATTTGAAGTGTGCTGCTGATCTTATCTTCCCCTTTCAGTGATTTTCAACAGATGTTGAACGTGAAATTATTATATCACGAAGTCCCTACTTTTGAAATGGACCCCGCGCTAATTTTGTATTCAAGAACTGAATCCTCATAGGTACATTGTTGCAGTGTGTTTTTTGTTACGCTTAAGAAATCCATTTAAAGGGAAACTCGAGTCCGTCGTAAATGGAAACAAAATTGAATGCCATATTCCAATTTCGATTTCGTTTCTTTTGAGGTATTTCACTATTGAACCTCCTTATCGCTGTTACTTGATGATGTCCCATTTATTGTAACGCGGCCGTTAGCGTAATCTTCCATCATATTTTGTACGTCTTGCTTTGTGAAATAAAGTGATCATTTGACGTACCTACATAGATAAATACATATCACACTCTGTATGTTGCTAAATGGAATGTTATCAAACCACATTTTACATCAATACTTATACATACCAAAGACTATTTAATTAGTCCATCTCATGGTGTATTTATACACCATGGTCCATCTACATATAAAAGCTTCCATCCGTTACTTATTAGTGAGTGTTAAACATGGAATGGATTTAGATCCTCAACGAATGGATGAAATATAAAGCAAAAAGCAATTAAAAAGGAAACTGAGGTTTATAATACTTTAATCTGAGGTTCCTAACATCGAGTCAAAAATGACCCACGTTGGGCACCATAAATTTGTCGTCAGCCGCAAGCAACATATCGCCTAACCGACTGGAATTAATGGATTTATTGAGGTTTTGGAGCACCGATTTTGGTATCGGGGTATCTTTGAACTGAAAATGCTTGGAATGACAACGAAAAATTAGTTCTTCGAAACTATGTAAAATACGACGATGGTCAAATTAAATTGTTATCATGCTATAAAGAAAACCAGAAAATTCCGACTACTTCATTGTCAAAAATACCGAAATTTGCCGATTTCGTTTTTATTTTTTTCTGATGTTATTTGAACAGCTTCAAAAAAATAAAAAGCACTTTATCATTGCCACTTTTTAAGCTCTACAAGACACCATTGGGAGATTTTCAATACAACCGTTGAGTGAAGGATTCCTTCACTCAACGATACAACGTTTTTTTAAGGAGAAATCATCAACTTAATTTTTTTTTATATAGCCCGTAAAAAAAGTACACACTGTATTGAGTAGCATTTTTTAATACGAACGCAGCAGTCATAGTTTTTCTTTTTTGCCAAAATGCGCGGACTAACTTATGGAGAACTGGACAACTTAAATTTATTAGACCGCCGAGCATCAGTAATCAAAATATGTGTGAAAAACCGATTTTCATCACGTTTGACACTATATCAATGATTAAAAATGTATGCAAAACTTGAACTCACTAGGAAAATGATATTAAATGTTGCTGAATAAAAAGTTAATGATCAACGACATTTTCTCATCTTATCACTATCCACCCACCTCTAACAAATTTCATGCACTAAAATTTGTAAACGTATAATTTCACATACAGTTCGAGGTGTAATAATTCTCAGTTTAGTGCACGTAAACAAAAGGTAATAGGTGGCAGGAAGACGGATGAACACGCAAGTCCCTTAACGAGTCCTGTAACAGACAACGTAAGGAATTAACTTAATCCGTTGAGTGGCTCTTACATTCGACTTTCAAGCTTCAGCGTATCAACACATAACTTTATGGCAAGAGTTCAACCGATACGACTTCTGCGTTCTACGGCACTTTAAACACAATTCTCGTCTTGTGAATCTTAATAGCGTCATCAAAGACGAACACTTCTTTACAGTAAAATGCGTGGCGAGAGGGAATGATCATTCCAATCCATTATCCTTAAAAATTTAGTCTAATACGAAAAGGAAACACTTAATCCTATGTGTATAAAAAAAACACTGTACGATCTTTAAACTAAACAGAGATCTATTAGCGCAGCTAAAATTAGGACTTTATGACAATCAATTTCTGGTATTACTTGCCTCTCTAAGGAAAATCTTTTATGTTTGATGAGCTAGCAGGTCGGGAAAGTTATTCAAACAAAAACTAGGGCAATGAGGGTTTCAAGTTCAATTAGTGGGAATACCATTTCCTCAGCCATGACAGAGTCATAGATGAAGTGACGAGGCCCCAAAGGAACGCAGATGGAACATATGAGACTGGAGAGGAGGTGATGTGATAGGAACCTTCGGTGGTTGATCAGAAAAATACTATACTATACTATATGGCACATGAAATTAAATGGATAGACCGAACTAGGAAACCGTACCTAGGTATATTAAGTATTAAATTAGAGACTGTATATGTTATGCAAATGAGTAAATATTTTTCACTGACATTCAGGTACTTTCCAGTAAAAAGCAGGCGAAGACATGGCCAGCGGGTGGAGGTGTTTGTTGTAGAGGCGCCATTGATATTGATGTGAAAACTACGTTATGCGGACGTTTTATTTGGTATCAGCATCTATAATAATGATTGTTTTATAATGAAATGGACTGTATTCCAAAAATTTTGCACTTACCCTTTAGATGTAACTTGATTAGATATCGCACAAGGGATAAGGACAAGTGACAAGATTACGGAATGGAAAGGGTAAATGCAAGGATGAATTTTCACGAAACTATTAGTTCGTTGATCGGCCTTTATTTATTTCACAGAGCGAATTTTAATTGCTTTTAGTAATTGTATCTTTTAGTAATTGTATCAACTAACTCTCGCGACGGACTTAATGCGAGTGTCCAGTTGAGTTATCTACTCAACCCTGGCAGATTAGAATTGTATGGGAAACTCCGGAAAATAAATTGAATTATGCTTTTAAAACCAAACATTTCCCACCACCCTGAAGAATACTTCAGAATCTACAGTAAACACAACGTCAGTAAAATTCTATATAATGAACTAATTATGTAATTACTATGAAATTTAATAGAGTAATATAAAGAAAGGAGAGAAAAAAAAAAAAAAAACTTCCATCAAATAATATTAAGAACAAAAAAAAATTCTAAATAACAAAACTATTGGATTATTGAGTCGGCAAAGGGCATACCTTTGTGACAGGGCGTCTATAAGTTCCATTCTTTGTTTTCACCCCAATTACTCGCACAATTCCATAATTGCCTGGAAAGACTTCCATGATACGACCTAAAGGCCATTGTAAGGGTGGAAGATTGGGTTGCTGAAGGAGAACAATTGTACCAATTTTGATCGGGTTATTCAATGTATTCCACTTTTCACGTGTTTGCATGGTATGTAAGTACTCAATGCGCCAGCGTTGCCAAAAGTGTTGCACCATGTGATCAATTAGTTGATACCTACTTAATCTACTAAGGTTAACATCCATTACATTAATTGCTGGCAATCTGTCTAAAGGAGTAAGAGTCAGAAAATGAGCCGGTGTGAGTGCAATGGGCTCAGCTGGATCTGAAGAGAGAACGCACAATGGTCGGGAGTTAAGGAGACATTCAATTTGAATTAAGAGAGTGTTCAATTCTTCGTACGTCAATAATTGATCACCAACAATTTTAAGTAAATGCGACTTGACGCTTTTTATATTCGACTCCCATAATCCACCCATATGTGGAGCTCCAGGAGCTATAAAATTCCACTGTATCCCCTTTATAGTAAGCTCGGCTTCAATTTGAGTTTTAAAGTTTTCTGACCTAATTAATTCAAATAAATCTTTTAATTGAGATTTAGCGCCCACAAAATTACTTCCTCTATCTGAGTATAACATGGTACATAACCCGCGTCGAGCTAAAAATCTTTTAAATGCTTGAATGAAATTAGATGTCGAAAGATCGGAGACCAATTCTATGTGAATCGCTTTCACTGCAAGGCATACAAATAAACAGATATATGCCTTTTGACTACGAACACCTCTATGCCGATTTAAAACAATACGAAATGGTCCAGCGTAATCTATACCTGTTTTCAAAAAAGGTTTGGCTTCTTGTACACGACAAGAAGGCAGATTCCCCATTAAAGGATATTCTGGTTTTGGTCTAAACTTGAAACACACATTACATTTATTAATAATGTTACGAACCACGCCACGAGCTGCTAAAATCCAGTAATGTTGGCGTAGCAAGGACAGCAATAAGTTAGGTCCCGTATGAAAATGCTTACGATGATAATATTCAATTAACAAATTCACCAAATGGTCTCGTTTGGGAAGCAGAATGGGATGTTGACTGTCAAAACTTAATTGTGAATTTTCAATCGCCCGCCAACTCTCAGTAAGCCATCTCTTAGGAACGGTCTATATTTAACAAGTACTGCTGAACAAGTGCCTGTATTTTCTAGTAAACGAATGTCGTTTATAAAATGTCTCTTTTGGACTATTTGTAATAAAACATTTTCTGCGGTTTCCAAGTCTACAGCGGTTAGTTGACCTCTGCCCGGCAAGCGTTTTAAGAAGCGTAGAACAATAGCAGTGGTACGTAACAATTTAGTCCACGAAGAGAATCGCTTGATTAAAAGATACAATGGATTTTCGTCTATGGGAGCGACAATCGTGGAAAAATTTTGGGTTTCTAGAGAATTTGTAACCAAAGAAGGGGTTGTAATTGGCCATTGCTCTGGATTCAATTTTAACCAATTGGGTCCCGTTCTCCATATATTATGTTCTATAAACTGCGGCGGGGTCATGCCCCTAGACAATCCATCGCTAATATTTTCTTTTCCACTGACATGAAACCAGCAAGTTGAACCGACTAATGCTTGAATCTGCGTCACGCGGTTACTAACGAAGGTCTTTAATTTGGAAGGATGCGTGTTAATCCAACTAAGAGTTACAGTTGAGTCCGAAAGAGCATATAAGTGAGTTATTTTCAAACGAGATTGATAGCAATTACGAACGTAACTAAAGAGTTTTGCTAAAAGATGCGCAGCGCAAAGTTCTAAGCGGGGAATCGATACAAATTTGAGGGGTGAAACTTTACTCTTGGCGCATAGAAGATTAACTTGTACAACTCCATCGGAATTTACGATGCGTATATAAATAACCGCTCCAAAAGAAGTTTCACATGCGTCTGAAAATCCAATTAATCCAACACTATCATTCAACTTTGTGCCGATGTGACGAGGAATGCTAAACTGGGATAAACATGGTAACGTATTTTTAAATAGTATCCAACGATTTACAATTGTAGGTGGAGGCGTCTCATCCCAATCTAATTGAAGAATCCACAGCTCCTTGATAAGTAATTTTGCAAAAAGGGTCACTGGGGCGAGAAAACCTATTGGGTCGTAACAACGAGCAACCATTGATAAAATATTTCTCTTTGTGCATTTAGAATTTATTAACTGAAATGAAAAACAAAACGTATCTGTAATAGGTTGCCATTGCAGTCCTAAAACTTTTAAAAATTCTGTATCGAAATCGACTGTCTGCGTTGAGCAATGTTCTGTTGGAATTTCAGATAATAAGTCACGGGAATTGGTGGCCCACTTCGTTAACTGGAAACCACCTCTACGAAAAAACTCTACTAATTGGTGATAAACGGGTATAGCTAATTCAGCGGAATCAATATTGGATACCAAGTCATCCACGTACATGTCTCGCTGGACAATCTCCGCAGCGATAGGCAGCGATTCCTTTTCATCATGAATTAGTTGTCGAATACATCTAAGAGCTAAAAATGGGGAAGATTTAATTCCAAAAGTAACCGTGTTTAGTTGGTAAACGTCTATGGGTGAATTTGGGGAAAATCGCCATAATATTTTTTGAAAATTTCTATCAGATTCTTGTACCATAATTTGCCTATACATCTGTTTCAAATCTGCTGTAAAAGCTACATGAAATAAACGAAAATTTAAAAGGGTTGTCAGTATATCCGATTGTAATTTTTCTCCAGTATATAACAAATCATTAAGAGAATAATTGCTTTCTGTTTTACAACTAGCATCGAATACTATCCTAATGGGTGTACTAGTAGAGCAAGATTTCAGTACTGCGTGATGAGGAATAAAGTAGTTACTATCGCCATTGCTATGAGAAACTTTTGACATGTGGCCTTGCGCTATATAGTCTCGTATAATGTCCGAATATTTATTTCTAAACTCTTCATTCCTTATCATTTTATTTTCTAATGTGAGGAATCTGCGAAGCGCAGTTGCACGTGACTCGCCCAAATTACTACTGTTATATTTAAAAGGTAATGCCACTGTGAATCGACCATTACTATCACGGCTATAAGTAGATTGATAAATATTTTCGCAAGCTAAATCATCGGGTTTAGCCACCGATATCGTTGGAATATCTTCAAATTCCCAAAACCGTTCAACTAAATTATCAAGGGAATGTTCAACTACAGCACAAAAATTAGACGGCGATAATGCTGGGGCGGTGACTGGGGCAGTGCCCATCACAACAAATCCAAGAGTGGTTCCGACGGCAATGGGTAAATTAGGTGGACCTATAATTCGGGTGTCTGTCAACAAATAAGGAAATAGTCCTGCTCCAATTATTCCGTCAACTTTGGCGGGTATGTGAAGCTTATCGTCCGCTAATGGTAATGACTTTAAATATCCTAAACAATCAATATTAATCTCCGAATTTGGCAACGTGTTAGCAATATTATCTACAATGAATACCTCCAATGAATAACGTTTTGTTGCATCAAACCTAGATCCAATTACCACTTGTGCTAAACCAATGATGTTGCTATTTACAGATCCTATGCCACGTACTAATCCAATATATTTAGACATTTTTAATTTTAGTTTGCGACACATTTCTAAGGTCAAAAAATTCCCTTGGCTGCAACTATCTATAAGAACACGTACCTCCCTATAAGCATCGTCTCCGTTAAAAACGTAAACCTTTGCGGTGGCTAACACAATGGCTTGTGGAAGAGGCCTATTGTCTGCAATACAATAATTTAAAGTGGTACTAATACTAGTGTTCGCTTCGGCAGGATTATGATTCTCGACGGGTTTGCCTGCCGTTTTTTCCAGTACAGAATCGGATACATTCTTACCAGGAGACCTAAAATGCAGCAAAGTATGGTGTCGTGATCTGCACACTTTACAAGATTGCGTACTTTTACAATTTGCGATCTTATGAAATGCCAAACAATTCAGGCACAAGTTGTTAGTTTTGGTTAATTGATAACGCTCTTGCGGACTAACTTCTAAAAAGGTGGGACACATGCAAGCTACATGTGCAGCAGATTTACAAATTCCACATTTTACAGTGGTGTTGTCTTGAACTACGAACGAATGAGGCGCTTTTGCTTTATTGATACTACTACAATCTCGACTAGAAGCATGTTTAAAACTAGCAGCCATGGAAGGTATTTTTGAAGGAGCATTAGTACGGGCGCATATCTTTGCTTGTTCTTTAACGAATGTTACAATATCGTCATACGACGGAATTTCAGATTTTCGGCGAGTATTTTCAAATAACCTTTGCGTGTCTGGATTTAATTTTGAAAAGGCGAGATAAGACAAAAGGTAATCAGCCAAGTCCTCAATTTCTAATTTGCGCAATGCCGTTACTGCTGAATGAAAAGTTTCTATAAACAAGTTCAGCGACGCGAAAGTTTCTCCTTGAGCCTGTTTAAAATTAAGTAACTGCTCTATGTATGAATTTGCGATTAAACGTTTATCATCAAACTTATCGACCAATGCCTTAAGAATAATTCGATAGTTATCGCCAATAGGGGGAATACCTGAACACACTGACAGCGCACTGCCGCTCAAGCACCCAACCAAATAATTGACACGATCGACATCGTTTAAATCTCTATTGTTATGAATCATATTGTTGTAAATTTCTATGAACAAAGGCCAATCTTTAATATTACCATTAAATTTCGGCAGAGGCAACTCTGGTAACTTCCGAATTGTTTTTGCTGTGACTAGATCACGTTGTGGTTCTGATCCTGTAGCGTAAGGCGATGCAGTAGCAGGGGGAATTGCACGTTTCGCGACCGATTCTATGTGACAAATTAATTGGTCAAATGTTTCTAATACTTGGTAATTAGGGACGTGATCTTCGCTAATTTGATATTCAAGTTTATTGATTTCATCTAAGGTGTCTAAAAATTTTGTTTTTGTATCTGCCAAGGTTTCGTATCTAACCCGAAAATTATTCAATTTTTCTGAAGAAGATATATCGCGACTATTCTCATACAATCTCTGCAACCTTTGAAAATATTGCTCCTTTTTTGCAACTAAAATTCTAAGTTGTTGCGCTTTCGATGCCATTTGAAACTATTGAAATACTACTATACAAATGAAAACCAAAAACCAAAGGAAAGGCAACAAATGTGCTCTGTGCAATATCTATTTCGCGATAAACGAATCTGCGCTCGATAGGACCAACAAATGTTTTATATTGAAATGGACTGTAATTCCAAAAATTTTGCACTTACCCTTTAGATGTAACTTCTCCGCACAAGGGATAAGGACAAGTGACAAGATTACGGAATGGAAAGGGTAAATGCAAGGATGAATTTTCACGAAACTATTAGTTCGTTGATCGTCCTTTATTTATTTCACAGAGCGAATTTTAATTGCTTTTAGTAATTGTATCAGTAAACGAAATCAACTAACTCTCGCGACGGACTTAATGCGAGTGTCCAGTTGAGTTATCTACTCGACCCTGGCAGATTAGAATTGTATGGGAAAATCCGGAAAATGAATGTCATTATTGAATTATGCTTTTAAAACCAAACAATGATTTGTCACCATGTGCGTGTGAATTTAAATTTTCTTTAAACATAAATGTGGTCGTTAATTTGGGATTTCGATTTTTTAGATTTGAATTTCGATCATGATATTTGTATTTGAATTCACGGTTATCTCATTATTTTAAATCCGATCGTTGCGATAAAAAATTTGTTATCGCTGCGTAAGCTAGTTAGTTTCAAGATAAGCATGTTTCGCCGATAACAAAACAATATTAGAATACATGGAGTGTCGAAAAATCTATTTCATAAAAAATGATCAAAGCCCTTTATCCTCTACCTATTTTTGTATGGCAGATCAATATTCTTAGCAAGTTTTGACTCCACCATCAGTAAGATCTTCTCGGGGGATACCACATTTCCTTTGTCGGTACCCAGTTCCTAGCCCAGTTTGTTCCGTCGTCCCGTTCACCCGCAATTCGCATTTTGGTGGATTTCGCTAAAATCCTCCACAAAATAGTACGCAATTTTTTAGGCACTTCTAATAGCTCGAGCCTCAATTGGCCACGCGAGAAAGAGAGACCGCGATTTGGGCTTTAGGCAACTTTAATCCGCGTGACAAAATTCACAGGGGAAGGCAATTTTTGGGGGGCCGAAGTCGACCACCCCTCGAACACGCTCGCCTGGCAGAAGGTGGTTTATTTCACCTCTACGAAAGAAAAAAAACAAAGTGGAGTGGTTGCTTACCCTTAACAGGTCCCTTACAAGTTACGGGAGTCACTTTGAAGACCTCCTTGCAGGCAGAATTCATCATGTTGTAAGCAATCTAAGAGAACAGTTTCCGCGGTTTGTGGAAATATTAGAAAATAGTATTTTGATGAAATACTTCAATGGATTGCTGAAAATTTTATCTACGCCACTCAACATCTAAAAAATTGATGTGTATCTTTTCGGTAGGAAATTTACAATTTTTCTCTCTTGACATTTTTTCTTAAAATGCTTCGTTTTGAAGTTCTTAAGAAAAATTTCAAAAATGGTGATTTTATCCCACTTAGGGGATGGTTCTGAGATGACGGGCTCAACGCCTCGGTGCTGGAGTTTCAGAGAGTGTTAAGACCCTTAAAACAAAGTACTTTTCAGCTTGTCTCTAATTTGTTGAACGTTACCCATATAGGCCATATAAAACGATGGATAGGCCCTGGGCTATAATGAGAGGGCGTAAATGTCAATTCGCATTTTACGGAACATCAACGTCACATCCCGGACTGGCAACGTCACGTCTCGAACCGGCAACGTCACGTAAAACTTGCTGCCAATTTACACTTTACGTCAATAAGTTTCTTAGGATGGTTGCGATTGGATTTTTTATTCTGGACCATCTGTTCTTATCATGCTTAGATTAAATAGAAGAACATTAGCATTAGCGTCGCGTTAAAGAAACGTTTGAAACTTATCTCGACGGTTCGAGACGTTGACGGTGCGTTCCGCTACGTCTCTATGTGAATGTTATCATAAAAAATCTATAATACAATATTTTGACGGGATGTTCCCGGTCTGTGACGTGACGTTGATGTTCCGTAAAATGAGAATCGACCCCGAATCGACCCTTAATGAACTGCCATCTCAGAAGTCCTGTCAAATATATTGATGGATTTCCTGTGTTGTATTAAAAAGATGCTACTTGATTCGTATATGAAGCACTTTAATGTTGAGTTAACAAAAATCATTACATTTGTATATTGGAAATGCATTATTTGGAATTATGAAAAATAAATTTTTGTATGCACCTCAGGCATTAGTCGATATTTAACCCTCGGGTGACGTACAATCCCTCGGGCCGGAGGCCCTCGGGCTCTATCACCATCGGCATAACTATCGCTTTATCGCGATGTTTGTGCCAGTCTGGGACGTTTCTCCACAAACGTCCATGGACGATTTTCAAATGGTCATCTAAGTCTGATTAAAAAATGACGGGAAATAGAAATCGGATGTAGCAGCAGTATATTTGTACTTTAACCCAGTTATTTTTTCATCGACAGAAATTTAATTTAAGGTTTTCTATATAGGGAAACGGGATAGATAGACTAGGCTATTGTCACGATTACATTTCTGGAAGTTATAGGTAAGGATAAATGTTGTCGGCGAATTTTTCCTTTTTAAGAAAATTCACTTTAAAATTTCAAATAAGAAAATTGCAACTACCTAGAAGTACAATTTATTTCTAAAAGCAAAATTACCGCATCATGTGCTTTCGCCAACAATTTACACAAGCGAAAATCAGATTAGTTATGCAGTTAAGTGACAGTGTGGAAATAGTAACACTATAATTGCAAGAAAGAACTAATAGGAGTACAAGACACAGTATTTTATTATTTAACATGTGTCATGTGTGTAGGGTATAAGAATGTGAAATTAACCAATGCTCCATGTGGATGAGTGCAAGCCTAGTCTCTTCTATGTAATTAAAGTTAGAACACAGAAGCACGAACGAAGCACAAAGTATGAAACATTATTACATTTTTTATGTTTGACATCGCCGCCATACATCAAACCCATCTGAGCAGATCTTAATCACGTTCCGTATCCTAAGAAATATATGAAATTTTGTATCTTGTATCTGCAAAAAAACCTTATTACAGTTTGCTACTACTGGTAAAGCTTTAAATTAGTTTAATAAAATTTTACAGCACCCAAGAAATGAAGTTCGCGAAGGTCTAGGTTTTTGTCTGAACGCGTTGTTCAAAGGCACCTTTTTTTTGCCAGACGCACGTTGTTTTTCATTACATTATTCATACTGCGCCATGAAAGCTACAAAATGTGATCTATCCTCGATTAAATCACCTGTTATCAACGGTAACGCTGATATTATGAATAAACACAGAAAATTCATAATAGATGTTAATGCTCGTGTTAATGCGTGTACTACGGTATCATAAATTATCTTTTGAGTACCAATTCGATACATAAATACCGGAAGTTCTTACTTCGCTTTAAAATACTCAATGCGAATCAATGGGAAACTAGCATGATTTTATTTCTGAGGGATTTGGAATCAATTTTTTATTAAGCCTCATTCATTGGGTGGAAAGACGTGCACATTGCCAACGATTTCGGTTTGTATGTGATTTTTCGATTCTATCGCAGACTGTTTACATCGACGGTCACAAGTGTTTCGAGTTTCTCTAAGCTACTAATTTAAATACATTGCGTACAGTGCGGTCCTAATGGCATGGAATATCTTGAAGCGCTGCGTCGACTGCATTACTCCAGCAGAAGCCTGGTTTTCTAGAGAAAGTGCCTTATTTGACTACCGCTAGTAGCAATCGCTATGGTCCGTTGAGGAGTGTACACGAAACTTTGCAGCAAAAAGGGGAATTCTAATGTGTAATACCTTTGCAAGTAAAACAGCTGAGAAGTATTGATTAAACGACGCGACATGTCTTTAATGTTATAAAGAATTCGTCACAAACAACGCACTCAAAATACCTGTCAACCCTTCTCATGTGAATTTTTCATTTATAGGGCACGCCCCTGAAAAAGAGAAAATTCTTTCGAGATGGTTTAGTTTTTAATAAATCTTTGACATATTTCAAGTGTCTCCACAAAAGGTAGCTAATAAGTAGTAATAATAAGTAACATCGAATTTAAATACTTGATGACCCATTGAAAATATAATTTCGTACGGGCATCATGAAACTAGTAATGGTTGACATTTTCCGTTCACGCGTTTGTTTATTATACAGGATGTCCACCTTATATGGAATATATCTCGATAAATAACGACTGTATTTCTACATAAAAGTTGTTTAAGATTTTATTTCCCAGCTGTTGATTTTATTCCCGAAAAGAACAAACAACAATTGAATTTTTTTAATTAAAATTTAAAATAACATTGATCTAGATATCAGAGATCCCTTTCATTTGTCTTAACAACTGATTGTAGGCCAGTAAATGTGACATAATCTTGTGTACCTATGTCAATAAGTTGGTACATCGAAAATTAAAAACGGCTATCATTTAACAGAATCTAGACGCACAGAAATTATATTCGGTTATGGGGATCGCAAACGAACACAAGTAGAAATCGAGAACCAATCGCCCAGTCAGTAGTTAATAAGGCTTTAAAACGGTTTAGGGATACTGGGCAATTGGGCATTCTACCGAAGACTGGTTCGCAAAAATCAGCGACTAATGAAGATAAAAAGCTCGGTGTTTTCATAGAAACCCACACATTAGCTACAACTCTTCAGTTAAGTATATAATTATGTTTAAACCATGCCGTAAGAAAAGGTAAGAAAGGTTTTTTTAAATAAAGGCTCTAACGGAATCACGCCCATAATTCAAATTTGGTTTGACGATCCTATTCGACAGTGAAATCCGCATTTTGAAGTCTGAAGCATGGATATGGCGATAATACGCACATTCGCAAATTTAAAATTGCACTATGGATCCAATTTGGCTTTGAAACGAAAACAACACAAGCGATAATTAAAATAATAATTAAATTTAACACTCAATATCAGTTTTAAATTATGCGCGACAACAAATTATTCAAACTTTAAATCAGAAAAATTAAAT